GTTAAGCTTTTGATGACCTTGCACAGGATGCCTACGCCCCTGTAGATGTTTTCCTAGTCCTAGACCTGGCCTATACCCCATATTTTGCATAATCTGTTGAGACGCCGGGGAATAGTCATTACTAAGAGTGAACCCCATGTCTTTCATCAGATCACGACCCCATAAAGAGATAGGTAAATCAAGTACATAAGGCTGAAAGTGCCATTGTGTCCTTCTGGGTCCTTCCAAGATAGATGTCTACAGCTGATTTGAGGGGCTTGGGCATATCCCAAACCTCTCAGTGATTGATCTGAGAGCTGCACCGGCCACCCCTTTGACCAGTCCTTTTGTGCAATTATACTACGATCTGCTCCAGTATCGAGCAATCCCAAAATTGATTTGCCTTCTATGGTTAAGTTTAAAGTAGGACGGTCATTCATATCTAAGGACAAATAAACAGAATTCCCTCCAGTAACTCCAATCTCATCACTTGTCCTTGAAAAGGAATCAGCAGAAAAGCGGGTATGCAGGCTGGGTAGAAGTAACAATTGAGCAATCCGATCTCCTGGGGAAATAGATACAATGCCCCTTGGAGCTTCCACCATAACTTTTATTGTCCCTACAGTATCAGGGCTAATAACTCCAGGAAAGACATGAAGACCTTGCAAAGTAGAAGATGCACGTCCAATTAGCAAACCTACAGTGCCAGGCGGTAAAGGCCCTTTGAACTCAGTTTCCACCAATTGGACTCCCATCTTAGGTGTTAATACGAGTCTGGAGGTGGAACAGAGGTCCAATCCCGCGGCACCTGTAGTGGCTCTCCGCGTCTCATGGGATGGCGTAGAGATGGCCATGTCTCGGGTTTGGGTGTGACATTCTCCATTGCCCCATATATTTGTGGGCCCTGGGGTCGGGGGCCCCTTCGGCCGTTTTTTGGCCCAGCTGAAATAGGCTGTCCATGGATGTCCCTCATTGATCTACACTCTTTTGCCCAATGCTTCCCTTTTTTACATTTTGGACACAGCCCTGGTTGACGAAAGCCATTGGAAGGGCCACCGTGAGGGGGTCCAGTAAAATTATCTTTTTTAGGACATTCACGTCTGAAATGACCGGGCTGACCACAATGGAAGCATGTTCCGGCACCAGGATTGCCCCCTTTTGCCACCCGAAGGACAGCAGCTGCAAGACCTGCATTAGTTAAAGGTCCTCCAATCTCTCTACACACTTTCATCCATGCTTCTATGCCCTTATTTTTATAAGGAGTGATTGCCGCTTTACATTCCTTGGTGCATTGTTCAAAGACCAATTGCTTGATAAGGGGCATGGCTCTATCAGGATCCCCAAAAATCTTTCCAGCAGCATCCACCATCCTTGCTACAAAATCTGAAAAAGGTTCTGTAGGGCCTTGTAGAATCTTGGTCAAATTGCCAGACACCTCTCCTCTATTTGGAAGCGACTTCCATGCCCGAATACAAATATTGTTAATTTGATCATATGCCTCAAGAGGAAATCCTGTCTGTTGATTTGCAAATCTACCCTGTCCCAAGAGCATATCCTTGTCCCAATGGGGGTGTCCCGCTGCATGGTTTTGGGCGGCCTGCTCTATTGCGCCCTCTAGCACGAATGCTCTCCAGTCCAAATATTTACCCGGGGAAACGCAAGCCCGAACAAGGCTAGCCCAATCAGAGGGAGTCATACAGTATCTAGACAGATTTTCCACCTGAGTCAGCGTGAAGGCGGCATCCACCCCATAAGTGCGTACAGACTCCGCCAGGGTCTTCACAATTTTAAAATCTAAGGGTTCATGGACTCTTCCCCTGTTGTCATCCTGAAAAACTGGATAAGCAAGACCCATCTCAGCGTGAACAGCCCTCCATGTTTGGGCATGGAAAGCTCTTCCCGAAACGCCCCCGCCATCCGGCGGTGGATCCGGGGGATCGCTTTTCTTGAGCCCTTGCTTATCTGTGTTCCCTTCTCCTACAGCTAAACTCCCTAGCTGACGAGACAGCCTCTCGAGCTCTTCCTCCTCATCCTCCTCCTCCTCTGACCCACTTTCGCATGGGGGTGTACGCAGCGTACTGAGATCTGGATACAACCGTTTCCTCCCCCGTCTCATGCTCTGCACACTCCCATCCTCCCGAGTCACTTCACTTTCTGCCATCTCCGATTTTTCCTCATGCAATCGCTCTAAAACCTCCTGTCCTTTAGTAAGTGCTTCCTGACATCTATCATCTGTAAGGCAACTACGGACCATTTTCCAAAGGGGTATCACCCCACCCTCTAATATGCCCTGCTCAGAAGCAAAGTCAAGATCTTTGCCTAATTTATCCCAACTAGGCACAGTAAGGCTGCCCGAAAATGCGAACCACGGTGCAGCGATATCTATCTTCTGTAAAAATCTCTGTAAAGTACTATGTTTCACTTCCAGTCCCTTGGAACGTAACAGGCCATCTAGGGCCAGGAGAAGCGGACTTGAAGATGCGGCACCCATGACACAACAACAAAGGAAGCACAAAAAAAAGAAAGCGAAAGTAGAAGCGAAAGTACACAGTGCAGCTGCAATAAAATGTAAGGCTCTCTCTTTCATTACAGAGGAGCTGCCCCGCTTTGGTCGCGGATCCCACTTACTAGGGACTAACCCCGCTTTGATCGCGGATCCCACTTATTGGGACTAACCCCGCTTTGGTCACGGATCCCACTTACCTGGGACTAACCGGTGCACCACCCCTGACTGTTGAAAGTTCTGGTTCCCGGGCTTCGGCGCCACTTGTCGCGACCCCTTGCCCGCAAGGAATACGCAACTCGAGAATCTTCTTTCAACAGTTTATTCAGGTCCCTGGATATTTCTTCTTCTTCTCTCGGGTGCCCCTCCCAGCCTTAATAAAGCATCCCAAGCCCCAATGCAAAGCTGCCGCGTGGAACTTTCTCACAGGGTGGTGAAAAATCATGTGCCAACTTTCCCAGATAAGAAATTGTTTGTCACAGACCACAGCGGAGCCAGCGCCATCTTGTAATGGCGACCATAATCTGCAGAAACGGCAGAAGCGGCTCACCACAGACATGATGTTCTGCCTCATCTTGAACCAGCTGACTATGAACTGAGACTTCCAAAACTGTGAGCCCCCGGATACACTTTTGCACCTCATCATTTGTTCTGAACAGGTATTTTAATCCCAACAGTGAAAAAGCTAACACATTAGAAAAGGCTCAGCCAAATGAGCTGATACAGGGAGGTTTATATCTATAGGAGAGAGTGAATCTATGTTCACCTTTATAAGAAGTCTTTAGAGAGGGAGAAAGAGATTGAAGAAATAAGAGAGAAGAACAATCTTCAGTAGCCCCGATACTGTTGAGAAGGGAGAGGATAGAATTCTGAGTATCCAGGGAGGTCAACTTAGAGCAGAGACCTCTGGATAGAAGCAGGAGGGTGAATGCAAGGAGGTTGTGAGTTTGGTGTCTAGAGTGAGTTCCATTTGAGGGCTTCTAATTTTGCCTCTGAAGTCAGGGTTGATATTACAGTAGGGGGTACCAGTGGAAGTGGAGGAATCCTGAGGGTTGAGGGTAAGTGGATAATCAATGCCTTGTAGAACATGCTCTGGACTGGAGGAGTCAGGAGGCCTGGGTAGAATCCCACTCTACCACTTCCTAACCTGAGATCAAATATAAAACCCAGCAGGGCATGAGGGGCCAGGGATGAGGCTACTGCCAAATAAAAGCTCTCCATTTGGGTGTTTATGAACCTGGCCATAGTTATTCACTTACAACTTCCATCTTCTGTGCTAATGCCTCATCCTAAGTATTTGGCCCATCTCTCCCACACTGTCCTAACCACCAACATTTTGTCCTGAACTCTACTATTCCATCTCTAGGATGGTATCACTCCCACATACCTAGTACAAATGGCTCCCTGATATGCCAAATCTTTCCCTTTTGGGACTTGGCTCCATTATGGTACTCCCCCCCCACACACACACACACATACATATTCTCTCTCTCTCTCTCTCTCACACACACACACACACAAAGATAATGAAGAAAAATGTTAAAATGTTCATATTTACAATGAATATAAACGAAAATTCACTTAGTATATTGACTGTCACTTGAAATCAAATGATATGTAAATAAAACTTTAAAATTTATGGAATGCAGCTAAAGCAGCACTCAGAAATTTACAAATTTAAATAAATTCTTTTCAAGGAGCTAGAAAATGAAATCCAATCAAAGGCAATGAAAGGAAGGAAATAATACAGATAAGAACAGAAATTAATGAATCAGAAAATAGATCTAGGATAGATATGGAGTAAAGATAAACATATTTGATAAGGCCACAGCAAGGCTAATTAAGAAGATAAGAAAAAATACAAATTATCAATATCAGGCATGAAAGGGGGGTATTATTACAAATTCTACAGACATTAAATTAAAATAGAAGGCTACTATACTGATCACTTTATGCCAATAAATTCAACAACTTAAATAAGTGGACAATATTTTGAGAAATACAAGTTATTGAAACCAACACATAAAAATGGAAAATACAAATAGTATTAAATCTGCTAAAGAAATTATACCTGTAAAGAGAATTTTTACCATAAATAAAACTCTAGGCCCAGATGATTTCACAATAAATTCATTCATATATACCTTCTTCAGATTTGCCTAGGTACAAAGGACATGCTTATCAACTAATTCTACGAAATAATAATAACCCTGATATTAAAATCTGGGAAGAACAATGTAAGAAAAAAAGTTCAAAACAATATCCCTCATGAAAATAGACACAAAATGATCCTCATAAAAGTATGAGCAAATCAGGCTGGGGGTGCAGCTCTATGGAAGGCACAGCGTGGAGTGTGCAGAATCCTGGGTTCAATCCCAACACCAGGGAAAAGTAACAGCAAAGCAAATTGAGAGAGAGAGAGAGAGAGAGAAAAACCCCAGTCACATATCTTTTATTACAGTATATTATTATAATCATTATAATTATTCTATATATATATATATTCTATAATGCCCAATTTACAAATCAAACTTGATCACAGATGTGTATATGTAAGAAAAAATGTAACACACATAGGATTGGGTAATATCGTGGTTTCAGGAATCCACCAGGGGACTTAGTGTAACCCCTGTGGAGGAAGGGGGACCACCATCATACCAATTCTACAAGATTATTATTGGCACAGGTCAGAATCCTTCAGGAGCAATGTCTTCAAGGAGATGGAACTAATGAACCATTTGGTGAACATAGTGAAGAATGGAGCTACAGATCAGCTACAAAAGCATAGAAAACTAAACAAAAAAGAAAATAATTATTGAAAAACAAAAGTATATATAAAAGCAAACAATATTATAATATATTTGGTTAATATGAATATATAATAGTGTTAAATGTGATATAGATCTAAATGAAAATTATAATTGTATGGAGGAGGCAGTGAAGGCCAAAATATACTTTTGTGTTGTGAGAGAGTTGGAGTAGAAGAAAGAAAGGTAATTTTTAATTTTTTTTTTTAGCTGTAGGCACAATACCTTTATTTTATTCATTTATTTTTTATGTGGTGCTGAGGATCGAACCCACTGCCTCACACATGCTAGGCAAGCACTCTACCACTGAGACACAACCCTAGCCCACAAGAAAGGTAATTCTCCATCCCATTATGGAAATTTAACAAATAATGCTTAAGTAGAAATTCAAGAAGTAGAAATACAAATTATTATTTAGATATAAAGGTGTACCTAAATACCAAATAATATCAAAATAAATGACTAACAGAATCAAAAGTAGTTGCTTCTAGGGACTAGAAAATGGGATAAGAAGTGGAGCAAGAGACTCCTCTTTTAATAAATCTCATAAAATTATTTACTCCTTTGAATTGTTGACACACTCATCTTTGACTTTGAGAAAGGCAACATGTTTCATTATATTTGTGAACAAAGTGAACCTGACAAAGTTTAGATTAAAACAAATTATGCCCACTTTCAAATACCAAAGCACAGCAGAATTGAAGGATGCTTCCAGAATTGAAGGATGATTCAATATTGAAAAATAATTAATATAATTCTTCATTGTGATAGATTAACAGATAAAATTCTACTAGAAGGTGAAAATAAAATACTTTCTTTTTTTGTAAAAGGTTAGATAGTAACAGACAAGTTCTTTCTTAAAATGACAGTATGTACCTACCATAAGTTCAAAACATGAGAAGGAATCCTACTGAACTCAGAAATATCCAAGGGTGTTCACTATCATCAGGTACTGGGAAATGCAATTGAAGAAGAAACAGAAATTAAACATATAAAAACTGGAAATGTGGAAATCAATTGTCCTTATATGTAAGTGGTATCATTGCATCCTTTAGGCAAATTTTTACTTCATTTTTAAACACTTAAAGTTTTTAGTTGACACATAACATTTAGATATATATGTGTGTATATTCTAATTAATTTGGTTCTGAGGCTCAAACCCAGGGCTTTGAGCATGCTAGACAAGCACTGAACCACTTGAGTTTCCTTTCCAGCCCTTAAACAGTCCTTTTAAAGTGAGTTCTTGGCTGTACAAAGATAGGCCACAGTGGATCAAGCCCACAGCTACAGTTTGCAGGCCCCTGCATACCCAGGAAAAAAAAAAAAGTTGGGTGGGGCGGGGGGGGGGGGAATCAAATAAAAACATTACAAACTTGAACAGAATTCAATAAATTCCGTTTTTACATATGAAAAATCAAACAGCACTCCCATCTAAAAAAATAGCTGGTTAGAAGATATAAAGAACAGATCCTATTCAAAACAGCCACAAAAAATAAAATTACTAAGAATAAACTTAATGAGAAGTATGCAGGATTTATAGTTTGAAAGTTTAATGCTACCGAAGGACATGAATGAATGCTTCACAATGGAAAAGCTCACCACGTCCTTAGGTTCTCAGCCTCATAAAGCTGTCAAAGATAGGGAAATCCATAAATCTCCTGTGATCCCGATAAAAATGCCAAAAGAGTATTCCAGGGGAACTAAACTAGCTGCTTCTAAATTTCATGTGGAAAAATTACTAAGAATAGCCAGGAAATTTTTTAGAAAAATTAAGAGTAACAAGGAAGGTTAAATGTGCCATGTATAAAAACCATTATAAGTCCTCCCTAACCAAAGCAACGTGAACAGAGAGAAAGACCACCAAAACCAGATAGAAAACTAAAAAATAAGTTAAAGTACATGAGAGAGTTTTGCATAGTAAATTAGCGATGTTGGCTCAACTGTATATCCGTGTGAACAACAAGAAAGTTGATCCCAACTTCACAAGTAACTCAAAACTAGATTCTGATAGGTGAAAGATTTAAATGAAATCATGCAATGACTAGAAAGTAGGTGTGAGAAGTATTGTATAACCTCATGTCCAAGGGACACAAAACTCAACACATTAAAGAAAAAGTAATGAATGTTAACCTATAAAAACTTTATATCACTTCTACAAATAATAATAATAGTAAAAATGACTCCTCAGTAAAGACAAAAATAAACAAGAAATTTGGGGAAACATAACTCATAGGACAGGAAAAAATGTATTCCTTAAATAAAAATAATAAATGTAAATAAGAACAAACTTTCTAAAGGAAAAATGAATAAAGAATAGAATTCGCTCACGGACGAGGAAACCCAAATGGCTCTTGAACATATGAAAAAACTGTTACCCTCACTAATAATAAAAGAAATGCAAATTAAAGCTATAAAAAATCTTTTCATCTATAAGGTTGGTAAAGTTTTTTTTTTATATGTTTGATGACCTAGTGTACTAATGAGAATGTGGGAATACAGACATTTGCATATTTTGATGGGAGTACAAATTGATGCATCCTCTATGCAGTTACATTTGCCAAACTAGCAAAATTCTAAATTCATGTATGCTTTGAATCAACAATTTCATTTCCAAGCATATATTCTGCAAATATACCTTCTTGTATGAAAAATGTGCTTACAAGGACATAGGATATATATCATATATATAATGAAATACTGTGCATCATCTATTAAATGTGTGGGACAGAGCTGGGTGCAATGGTGTGTGCCCACAGTCCTAGCTATTCAGGAGGCTGAGGCAGGAGGATCACTTAGAGCCCAGGGATTCAAGCCCAACCAGGCCAAAGAGCAAGACCCCCTTCTCAAAAACGAAAAAAAAAAAAAAAAAAAGTGAGGCAGCTATTTGTTCTGCCACAGAAAATCCACTAAAATACAGAAGCAAAATATAGAGCAATGTATACACTGTGCTACCACTGTATAAAATATATTGTATATATATGTGTGTGTGGTGTGTGAGGAAGCTGGCAGTTGTGGTTGTTTGTGAAGAAAGAAGTCAGGTAGATGGGGGAGAGGAATGGATGGGGGACTTGCTTTTATTCAATGCCCTTTTGTGGGGGCATAGTGTACATATGAAACACACTTTAAAATAAAGCAATATATAAGTTCATTGCAGAAAATATAAAGGCAGTAAGGAAGAAAAAATACATACTATCACCACTAAAGACAACAACATTTTGGTGATTACTTTTCAGTTCTTTTTTTTTTTTTTTAAACATGAGCATTTAATTTTATTCAGTGGTGGGTGTGTGTGTTAAGAGAGAGCGTTTTGCATATTAAATTACTGATGTTGGCTCAGCTGTGTATACTTTTGTATCTTGATCATTTCCTTTAATCATGAGCACTTTCTCATTTGAAATGTATTCATTCAGTACAGGTTTCTGATTGTTTCCTGGTTCAGAATTACAATTGTGTTGATATGGTCATTTCTTTTTGCATAATACAGGCAGCACGTTCTCCAGAAGAAATGCTTTTGTACATAATACAAATCATTAGGACTCAACACCTTGTCACCCAAGCGTATTGAAGAAGGGAGCTGGAGAGTCTGAGGTGTCCGGCTTACAAAGTGTGTTAGTCAGCTTTTCATCACTATGACAAAAATACCTGATATAAACTACTTAAAAGAGAAAAAGTTTATTTAGACTCACGGTTACAGAAGTTTCAGTCCATGGTTGGCTATTTCCATCACATTGAGTCTGAGGCAAGGAAGAACATCATAGCAGAAGGGCGTGGCCAAGGAAAGCTGCTCAGCTTATGGCAGCCAGGAAGCAGAGAGAAAGAGAGAGAAAAGTGGGGGGACAAGGTATAGTCCCCAAGGGCATGCCCATGAAGGCCTACTCCCTTTGACCAGGTCCCACTTCCCACAGCCTCCATCCCTGCCCAGTAGTTCATTCAGTTATCAGTGGATGAATCCACTGAAAAGGTCAGAGCCCTCATGATCCAATCACTCCCCAAAAGCCCCACTTCTGAACACTACTGTATTGGAGACCAAGCCTTCAAAACTTGAGTCTTTGAGGGACAATCCAAATCCAAACCATAACAGAAGGCATGATATCTGATAGGGAGGGAGAAGAGGTAGAGATGACCACAGGTGTCCTAGGTGAAGCCAACCAAGTGGTGGAGCAGGAGGAAACATTAGCAAAATAGCCCAGGAACGGGTGGACCTCCCCACACCCTGCCACAGGTGGGGGGAGGCAGGGACCTCAGCAGTCTTGGGGAATCAGAGCCAGGGCCACTAGAACACAACCCAAGCTGTTTACTGTGCCACCGAGTCGCATTTGTTGTCAGGGAGAGAGCCCTTATAACCCAGAGTAGATTTAATATGCATTTGTCTAGCTCCTGCTATGACAGTACTCCACTGGGTGCTAAAAATGAAGAAAAGACATATAGTCTTCCCTCCTTGGACTTGTCTGGTTGCAGAACTCACCAGGAGCAATTACCAAGTAGTGCAGTGTGGGATGGGGAATGAAGCACGTGGTAGAGCACCTGCCTTACTTGTGCAAGGCCATGGGTTCAATCCCTAAGACACACACACACACACACACACACACACACGAAAACAAATTAGTGCAGTAGATGCTGGGCCTAATGGAACATGCCTGTGATCCCAGCTACTTGGGAGAATGAGGTAGGAAGATTGCAAGTTTGAAGCCAGCCTGGGTCCCATCTCAAAATAAAATAAAAGGGCTGGGATATCAACGTTAGAGTGCCCCTGGGTGCAATCCCCATACCCGCCCTACACACACACACAATCTGCACAAAGTGGTGGGAAGCTGGAATTGCCTGGGGCACCTGAAGATTGAACCCGTCTCTATGTGCAGAAATGTATAGACTGTGGGATTGGGTGGAAGGATGGCTTCCATTTCTGGATATTTGACCTGCATCTTAAAAAGTGACCATACAAGTGTCTTCCCAAAAGTAGAGCTTGAGACAGGTATTTTCCTTGAAAATGTGATTCTACGTCTGGAGCAGGGAAGAAGGGAACATCTCTGTACAAGAATGCTTTGGGTTGGCGGCTACTAAGGGCGAGGGATACTAGATCGCACGAGAGCCCTGATGAGCTGAGGAAGTGCCTTTGGGAACCACAGCTCTGGACAGCAAAGGATGAGGCATTTATCTGCCGCAGTCTGGCTGGGCACAAAATAACCGAGCCGCCACACAGCCTTGTAGGTTCAAAACAGGAACTCCTTTATTCTCCGCACTCCCACGATCGACACGCATGTGGCCTTCTCCTGGGACACACCACCCACCAATCGGAAATCCCTCCTCCGGCAGTTCTCCAACCAATGGGAACTCTCCAGGAATCCCTGCAAGAACTCCAAAGTAGCAGGCCCAGGCGGGCAGCAGGGGTCTAATATACAATTGAATACACAGCTTAACATAACCATTATCATCTCAATGGCTTGCTGGCTTCACCTCTCAACCACTCCGTTCTGGCAAAAATGCCATGCGTCAATCCGACTTGGCTATGGCTCTCAGCACTTATCCCCAAATGCCTGCACCCTATTGCTCAAGGGTGGTCCCACAAGTTGTGCCTGTATGAGTGGACTTTCGGGAAGCCCGGGCCCTGGCCAGGAAGCAGGAGGCAGCTGAGTGAGGATAGGAGAACCTGGACGAAGCTGTACACAGCCTGCGCAGACCTGGTTGCTGTGCAGTGATAGGACCAAGAGGATTCACACTCAGCTATTCCAGACTTCTGCGCTCTTGGGAGGCGGAGAGGCACAAGCCTCAACACAGGGAGAACTTCTTCCACCTGTTTTTTTGCGGCATCCTTGGAGGGGCTTGGTACATCTAGGAGGCTGGAACAAACCTGGGCTGGGAATGATCTGCACAAGGTCTGAACGAGGTTTGACTCAGTAGAAATGACGTCTCTTCAGTGGTGGTGAGGCTAAAACAGTCCCCATCAGAGTCGCCCTGTAAGGTGCTGGCCACATCAGTGTAAATGTTGGTTTCCCCTCTTGATGGACCAAGCAGAGGGTTTCACTGCACCCAAGAGGGATATTGAAGGGAGAAGCCATGGTGAAACAAGAATTCAATTTACTTTGCATTTCCTTAATTCCAGATCTTTGAAGGATAGACCGTGCTCTTTTAAACTTCATAGCACATATAACCCAGAGCTGACAGTGTAGTAAGTGCTTAAGGGGAAACTAACATTTTACTTAATGTCTCTCCTGGGCCAATGACTGAGCTAAATACCTCATATATGTTATTCGCTTAATATCAGTGATTATCTGACCCAGGCACTAGTCTCATCTCAGTCCCTATTGATAAGGAAATTAGGAATCAGGTACATTAAGTGGTGTATCTGGAATCAAATAACCAGGACAATGACACAGAATGTAGACCCTGATCTGATTTCAAAGTCCAAATATGCTCTCTTACCTTCCCATCTTGCTTGCTATGTTATGTTCCACCAACTAGATAAAATACCACCAACCAGCTTATGAAGGCAGAAATCCATTGTGTCACAGGTCTGGAGCTCAAAGTCTAAAATCAAGGTGACACGTAAAAGTTATGCTCTTCTGAAAGGAGACTCCTTTTTTCCCCCATCCTGGCTTCTGGTGATTTATCTGAAGTCCTGGGCATCCCTTGGTTTGCATGTTCAGCACTTGGGTCTCTGCCTCTAATATCACATGGGATCCTTCCTGCATGTGTCTGTCTCTGTCTCTTTTCCTCTTCTCATTCAAATATCAGTCATATTAAATGAAGGGTGCACCCTACTTCAATCTGACCTCTTCAATAATTACAGCTGCAACTACTCTATCCTCAAATGGGGTCACATTCCAAGGGACTGAGGATTAGAATTTAGGCCTGACTTTTTGGAAAACACTATTTAATCCACAGCATTTGCCTAGCATACATTTGATGATTGGGTTAATAAACAAATGAAGAAGAACAGAGGTACTTACCTGTAAATTGGAGAAGCAGCCAATGAATAATTCTTCTCATTGGCACAGAGCTTCTAATTGACCTATTTTACGTATTGATCATTTTTATTCTTTTTCATGGGGAATTGCTGAAAAGTAAACCATTCCCACATTTATCCAGTAAAATAAATCACCCTCTCCATCTCTTTAGTTGCACTTTGTTTTGCAGTACTGGGGTTGAACCCAGGAGCCTTCTACCACTGAGCAGCCTCTCTAGCCCTTTTTATTTTTCATTTTGAGTCAGAGTATCGCTAAGTTGCCCAGGCTGGCCTTGAACATGCCATCCTCCTTCCTCAGCCTCCTAAGTAGCTTGGATTACAGGTGTGTGCCACCATGCCTAGGGAGTTGCACATTTTTATCCATACCCAAGATCATATACCTCAATTCATTGAATATTACTACACCCTATGAGTATGAAATAGTATTATCCCCGTTGCATGGATGGGGAAACTGAGGTGCAGAGGATTATGTAGCAAGCCCTAATAATGAGTAAAAAAATCAGGACTATAGTCCACATAATTTTTGTCCCTAAAGCCAATTTTTTCTTCTCATTAAAAAAAAAACTATCTATTTTTTCATTACATTTATCATGTATGAACATGTATTTACCATACTTTTTTTTTTCAAATAGCACAGTTACATACAGCAAAATACCACAACTCTCTTCACCATCCCCACACCACTCCTAGGTCTAAAACTCTGCCTGGCAGCCTCATTTTTCTTCCTGGCTTTTTTTCTTCTTCTTCTTCTCTCTCTCTCTCTCTCTCCATTTACTGTCAAATATGTATATTATGTCTATTTTTAGGGCTTGTTTTTTATTTACATAAAAGGGATCACATTCTGCATGCTGTGCTAGGACTGACATTTTCCACTTAACAACACCCTGGAGATGATTTTTTTTTCATGTGTCAGCAGAACTGATGTTCCTCCTGGATGTACCAGCATAACAGCAGGGCCAGTTTCTGGTCACCACCCGTGCTCAGACCAGAGTGACATATTTCATTTCTTTTCTTTCTTGTTTGTATGTGGGTGCACACACATGCACACGTGTACTGGCGCTGCTGGGATTGAACCCCAAGCTTTTTGCATGCCAAATGGCCCTACCACCAAGCCACAGCCGAGCCACACCCCCAGCACTGGGGTTGCTTCTTTTGAATATTGCCCTGTGTGTCAATATGTACAGGTTTGGTGTCATTTGTTTAAATTGCTATGTAGGGCTGGGGTTGTGGCTCAGCAGTAAAGTGTTCATCTAGCATGTGCGAGGCCCTGGGTTCGATCCTCAGCACCACATTTAAATAAATAAAATAAAGGTATTGTGTCCAACTACAACTAAAAAATAAATATTCAAAAAAAATTGCTATGTAGTGCTTTGGGCTGCCACTTTTATGTAATCATCTGCTCTTTGTGTACATTTAGGTTTTCCCCAATTTTCACTATTTCAATAGGATGGACCCCAACATCCAGTTTCTATCTGTGAACATGTGTGAGAACATGAAACAATCTCTGCCTGGACACCTTCCCAATAAAGACACCTGTGATCTCTTCCTGTACAGTAGGGGGGACACTCCTTCCCAAAGGAGGCCCAGCTCTCTGGACCTCAGCACCCCCTGAGAATCTGAGTGGCTACAGGTACATTACCTAGGACCCTGGTTGCCCTTAGGACCACTGGGAGAGTCTGAATAAGGCCCTGGACCTGGACCTCATCTGCAGAAAATCTGATTAAACCAAACCAGGATGGGCCCCAGGCATCAGGATGACTTTTTAAATACTTCTATGAAAGTCAAATGTGTAACTTGGGGTTAAGAACCAATGACAAAGGGCCTTCCCAATTTTATTAAGTACCTGCCAAAAGATTTGAAACCTAAAGAGGGAAAAGTATTAAGAAAGGAAAGGCAAGAAGGAAGGGGAAAATAAATGGGGTAGGAAATAAAGAAACTTTGAATCGTGTCCCACAGAGGCTGAGATCCGCCTTCTCTCTACCCCTCCAAGGGACCCACATGTGGGACTGTGTCTCTCCCCAGGTGCTGCACCCCTAACTTGTGCTTATCACAAAAAGTCACTCCCCCAATCGAGTCCCAAGTCTAAACCAGCCTTTGGGATAAGGACCCATCAAGGGGACTTTCTGCACACTGTCACCCTTGTATATGATGTGATAGTGATGGGATCAGGACATTGTGGATTAGGCAAAATGTCTAGGACTTCACAACACAGAGTGAAGCCTAATGTCAGCTGTACACTTTAGTCAATAATGATGTTTCAATATCAGTTATCAATTGCAACAAATGTATCACACCATGGTTAGTTGTTAATGACAGGGGAAAGGAAAGGGGATGAGAGGAAGGACATGGGGACTCTGTACTCTGCTCAGTTTTTCTGTGAAGATAAAACTGATCTAAAAAATAAGACCCTACATACTAGTTCTCCTCTTTCTCTCCCCTTACCCTCCCTAGGAGAGTGGTTGAAACTTTAAAGTCTTTTGATTGAGAAATGACAGGATCACACAGAGCCTTTAATGCCTTAATTTTTTTTAATAAGTCAGTAAATAAATTAATCAACACAAGTACATTCATCCCAGTGGCCTCCTGCAGACACACACTGAGAAGAGCAGGGCCCCATGCATCCCTATACCTGTCCATCCATCCCCCAGCTCAGGGTCCACAGAGGGCACCTGCTGTGCTCACAGCTTCTCACGCCTCTTTATCATTCCACCAAGGCCACCTGCAGTTAAGGACCTTTTTTTTGTGTCCTGTGAACCCTCTTCTTTACCTTTCCCCTCACATTTCTGGGCCCAGGACTTTTTTATTTTTCAACTGAGGCTAATCTGATTACAGTGAAGGTGCTAATAAGGTGAATGAATGCCATTAACAGTACCAGATACAATCTGCATGTAAACCTGGGCTTCTGAGGGCCACGGGCTGGAATGTCAAGCATCTGGGGAGCGGCCAAGGAGGGAGGCCAGAGGGAGGGTCCTCTCCCAGACCTTTGGGGAGCCTCCTACTGTCCACTAATCATCCCCTTCATCAGCATTGTATTTCAAAGCTGATAATCAATTTACTAATGGCTTTTTTTTTTAGTTGTTTGTATACACCCTCTCCCTTTATTCTCAGCGACCCAATAAGTTACTGTTGTTTCCATTTTGCAGAGAAAGACCTTCAGAGTGGGTGAGCTAAGAAACCTGCTCCAGAGTGATGTTCAAACCTAGTTGGGATGCTGTTTTAATCTTCCTAATCTATTTCTATTGGTGAGGTTCTTAGGTTTATATCACTCCTGGGGACGGCAATGGATAGGACCCTGGCATGCATGCAGGTAGGACCCTCAGCAAGAGCTTCCTTCCCTCCCCATCTCCCTCTCCTGGCCCTGCAGAGCTAAAATCATCAACCCAGTTAGATTCCGCCTTCAAGGCAAGCCAAGCCAGTTTTTTTTTTCTTTTTTTAGAGAAGGGTCTTGCTAAGTTGCTTAGGGCCTCGCCAAGTTGCTGAGGCTGGCTTTGAATTCAGGATCCTCCTGCCTCAGCCTCCCAGGCCACTGGGATTACAGACATGCGCCACTGCGCCCAGCTCAAGGCAGCTTTGGTCCTCAAACATGTGTAGATGGAGCCATTGTTGGCCCAGGTGGTTGGAGCACCATGTTAAAGAGACCAAGACCACGAGTGCGATTCACTAATTTCCCGCACAGTTGCAGAGTGCTGGAAGAGTACCAAGTGTGGAATACCAAACATGACTCAGATATGTACCCTGCCCTCAGAGAGTTCTTAGGAGAGTAAAACAGAAGGGTCAGAAAGAGAGGGTGGGATTGAGGTTAGGAACAAACGGGCAAGCGAATTTATTTGGGGGAAACCCCACCAGGGATTCTGAGACTGTGTCTCCCATTGTCTGGGATGCACGTTCATAGAGTATGTTACAATCTAACCCAGTCACTGGCTAGATAATTCTAGAGACATGGTCACTAGATGGAAGGAGCCAGGAACAAATAATGCACAGGAACGATTGCAAAGCCGTCCCTGCCCTTGTTCATTTATTTGACAAATATATACTAATTCGGTTCCCACTTTGTGCTTGGCACTGTTCTAAGCCCTGGGTAGTCGAGAGGGAAACAGGACGGATGTAGCCCCTGCCTTGGAGTTTTCCTTTCACTTGGGCCACCAGACCACATCTTGATAATGCAGTAGATATAAAATATCAAGTGACACTTAGTGCTAGGGGAAAAAAACAGGGTTATGAGAAAGGAAAAAATATATTACCTTAGAAAAATAATTGGATGTCTACAGCCTGTGCCTCACAGGGACATCAGCAACACCAGTTCCCCCTGAGAAGCACAGCTGCATCCTTGGAAAATAAGCTAAATGATAAATATGCGTGGATCACAGAAGAGAGAAGGTATAATACCAGAACCATGATGTGGACTCAGACACCGAACGGTGGTGTTTCTGAGTTTCTCCTCCACCTTGGTTCAAATCCTACTTCTGTCATTTGCTAACTGTGTGATTAGGGGACATTTACATGTTCTTTTTAATTTTTAGTTTCCTTGCTTGAAAGCTGGGGAGAGTAATGCCCCTTAGGTTGCTGTGAAATTCGAAAGTAGGTGATGTTTGTGAAGTTCTTGGCACAATGTCCAGTACTCAATAAGTTCTCAGTAAGAGGTAAGCACAGTCAGGAGTTATTTAAGAGTGGGGACACAACAGGTTGGTATGGTGGCCTGGGCTGGAAATCCCAGCAACTGAGGAAGCTGAGGCAGGAGGATGGTAAGTTTGAGGCCAGCCTCAGCAACTTAATGAGACCCTGTCTCAAAAAAAAAAAAAAAAAAAAAAAGGGACTGGAAATACAGCTCAGTGTTAAAGAAAAAAAAAAAGAAAGAAAATTGAAAGAGAATGGGGATACATTCTGAGAAGTTCATCCCTAGGCAATTTTGTCCATGGGAATATCAGAGTACATTAAGTGCATTTATATAAGTCTAGCTGGTCAGTCACTCAATGTGGCCTCTTGATGCTATGGAGAAACAAGGGTTGGGTTTTTCTTTATTTTGGTTTTGGTTTTTGGTACCAGGGATTGAGCCCAAGGGTGCTTAACCACTGAGCCACATCCCTAACTCTTTTATTTTAAATTTGAGATGGGGTCTCACTAAGTTTCTTAGGATCTTGCTAAATTGCTGAAGTCGGCTTTGAACTTGAGATCCTCTTGCCTCAGCCTCTGAGCCGCTGGGATTGCCACTGTGCCTGGCAAGAAACGGGTATATATGAGATCTATGAGTCTGCTGCCAGCATAACAGGGCACACTGTTTATAATAAATCTTTTAAAATATGTAACCAGGAATACACTCTAAAATAACCACCAAGAGCTGGGAATGTAGCTCAGTGATAGAGCACTTTCCTAGCATGTGCAAGGCCCTGGGTTCCATCCCAGGTACTGCAGAATAAAATGAAATAACCATTAAAGTACAAACTAGTGAACACCTAAATCAGCAACATAGTTGTTTATTATCATTACCAAATATTGTGTATCACACATAATGGTGTGGTCATGGAGCTGGTAGACAGCAGGTTTGTTCACATATGGAGGACCCCGCACGTGAATAACGTGTTGCACTATGATGTTACAATGTCACTAGCCAGCAGGAGTTCTTCAACTCTTTTGTAGCTTTATGGAACCATTGTCATAGAAGTGGTATTTCACTGACTAAAACATTGTTATGTGGCACAAAGATAGACTATTTTAATTTTTGTTACCAAGAGTTGAAATAGTCCAAAATTATCTTCCAATTTTAATCCATCATCAATAGAAAGTAGAAAAATTTGTCCTTATAATGCTTTATTTTTTTTTAAAGTAGTCCTGTGAGTCCACTGCCTACCCCTGCCCTGAAAAAAAAAAAAAACTCTCGAAAAAAAAACTCCAAAGGCTTTGAGATTCCCTTCTGTCCTGGTCAGGATGCCAGGGTCTGCCTACTGACCGCTGTTGTCAGTCAATGTTTAGGGAATGAGTGCATTTGGCACGTGCATATTTAAAGGATCTGTGTAGTGAACCCTTTATACAGTGTGAGCCCGTCTCCCCTGGCTCATCTTGACTCTGGGCAGCTGTGGCTTTGGCTGGTGAAGACAGCCCTGGGTCCTCCCCTGCGTGTCAGCAGCCACCCAAGACCCTGCGGTGGCTGGGGAACCAGCCAGGGTCCAGATTCAGCCATGCATCACCCATGGGTCTATTTTCCGAAGAACCTGAACTGGCACAACCCAAAAAAAGTATTTTGACCCCAGCATGTTCTTCCTTGATTTCCATACCTTTAATTCAGAGGTCTCTGATTCATTGAAAATAGCTCCACAAGGTCTGATTTTTTTTGTGGGGGAGGGCGTACCAGGGATTGAACTCAGGGGCACTTGACCACTGGGCCATATCCCCGGCCCTATTTTGTATTTTATTTAGAGACAGGGTCTCATTGAGTTGTTTAGTGTCTCGCTGTTGCTGAGGCTGGCTTTGAACTCTTAATCCTCCCACCTCAGCCTCCTGAGTAGCTGGGATTATAGGTGTGTGCCACTGCCCCCAGTTCAAGGTCTGATTTTTGAGAGTCAATGACTAAGATGACTTTCTTTCCTGGTCATTGTCGTCATCTTTTCTTCTTTTTTAATTTTTTTAGATGTTGATGGACCTTTATTTTATTGATTTATTTATATGTAGTGCTCAGAATCGAACCCAGTGCCTCACACCCGGTAGGCAAATGCTCTACCATTGAGCCACAACCCCAGCCCCTCTTTCCTGGTCATCTGAGTCCATCTACTCTCAATTCCAACTCAGGCCAGAAGCTAGAGAGGTGCCACCCAAATTAATAGTGGGGAGGGGAGCCCGGGCACCATGCAGGAGTAGATTTAATCCTCCCAAATAGCTCATGATTTTTCTCCCTGGTTCACAGATGAGTGCACCAAGGCTCAGGGACAGTCACCTGACTTATAGTTTGTAAGTGAGAGAACAGGGTTGTGAAATCGGATCTGCCCAACTCCCAAGCCTGCCTTTCCCCCTGTGCCACCCCACACCCCCAGGAAGCAGTCCATTCAGCTCCAAGGATGTGGCCCATAGCTGAAGCTTCACCTGGCTTCTCAGTTTCCTCACCCAGAAGGTCTATGTTAGCAGGAAACTAGAAGGCTCCTCTCTCAGTGACCCAGCAAATCAGCTCTGGGTCTAGGATACTATACTATGAGCATTGAGAATTTGCCATCTCCTGAACCACAGATCCTGGTGTTTGGGGAATAAGTGGTGCCATACTGCCTGGAGTTTGACAGAGCCTCGGAGTCTGTCACTCTGGGGCCATGTCCTGCCAGACCTCAGGTTCCCTGGTCTCTGAGATTCCTTCTCACTTCGACAAGCTGCAAGGGTGAGTCTCACAGATATCTGGATGCCAGAGAGGGTACATGTGAAGGCAGAACCAGAGGTCAGGTGCTCAGATACCATCAGGATTTCTGTCAGAGAGCAAGAAAGGCTTCCTGTGGAGGAACTCAACTTGGCAGCCATTAGGGAGAGTTCTCAGAAAATCTGGGAAATCGACACGCCTCACCTGACTTAGGAAGAGCCTCTGTTCGAGGACAAATGCAAACCTTTTAGTCTGGAAACATTGTGGATAAGTGCCTGATGACATGAGGCAGGGAAGGGGGGGCGTTCTACCCGGGAAATCAAACTACCTGCCCCTTGGTGGAGTTGCCAGGATCAAAGAAGATAACGTCTTGGAGAGCTGGTCAGCCCTGTGGTGCCAGCGCAAGGATCAGGGTTCCCATTGTGAGCAGCAGCTGGGGGCTCTCTTCTGAGGCCTTGGGAGTAAATGGAGGCAGCATTGACTTTCATTCAGGGGGAAAAACCACCCAAGTAAGAGGAGCGCAGTCTGAAAAGCACCGCAGGTTCCAAGGTTCCAAAGGAATGATCACAAATGTCCAGTGTTTTGAGGTTCCGATCAAGGCCACTGCCTCTGAACACAACAGACCGTCATCCCTTCCACCCCTCTGCACATGCACACCTTTCACAATGTCTCATTTGACCCGTACCACACCTTCAGGAGGTGGTTCAGGGTGCAGTTATCCCATTCTATGGATAAGGAAATCAGGCTTCAAAACTGAGCAGTGAGAACACCCAATGCAATGCAAGCAGGAAGCTGTGTAGCTGCTGCTTCTCACTCCAGGTAGAGGCCAGTGTCCTTTCCACTGTGATGTAGCTCATGCATGTGAAAGATGCCCATTTTTCTTCCAATCCCATTGTGATATCAGATGTCCAAGAGAGTAGTAACATCATGTCATTGCCCTGATCTTGATGTTGTCTCCATGTCTTGACACTTCTTACCGTGTCTGACAAGGTCCTGATAAGTTGGCTGACCTTTGACCTCATTCCTGCTTCTTCCCACTGCCTCTATATATTCTAAGCACACTAACCTTTCAAGGACTCAGTGACGCCAGCCATACTGACTCCTGCCTCAGGGCCTTTGCCCATGCCACTCCCTCAGTACAAACTCATCTGCACTATTCTCATAATTTAGATCTGAGCTCAAATGTCATGTCCTCAGAAAGGATTTTCTTGACCATCTCAACACTCAGCCACTCTCCATCTTGCTCTGCCGTAGTCCGGCTGCAGCAGAATAATCAGGGGGGTGACGAACAACTTGTGTAGATTGATACAGCAGGAGTAGGAACCGTTTATTGCAGGACAGGAGCAGTATTTATACATTCCACACAGCTTATCTAATTAGCATAAACTAGATACATCAGTCAACCAATCAGGAATCTCTACACTTAATGGCTCTCTTTTGTTACTTCTCAAATCACTCCCTCTGGCATTTTGCCAGGCACCATCCAGACTTGTTTACGAACTCTAACATTCCCCTGGCAAAATGCCAGGTGTTATTTTGACTTGTTTACAGACTCTAACATTGCTCCTTTTTATTTTCTATGGCACTTATCACTATCTAAGTATTTCCAGTTTATTTTTGTTTGTTTGTCACTCCCACCACCAGTCTCAAGAATGTAAAGTCCAGGTGCACAGTGGCCAGGGGCCTCATCTGCCTTTTTCCCTGAAGGAGGTTCCTGACCTATGTTTAATATGTAGCAAGCACTCAATCAATATTCATCAAATAAAATCAGTAAGTCTTTATTGAAATGTATTCAGTTGGTCTGTGGACAGCATGCGGAAATTGTTAAGGGCTACAGGTGAAAGGGAAAAGCCTTCTGTGAGTAATACTGAGATGTAGTTACCCACGGTTTCAGCAGCCGTAGATACGTCCACAGACAGTGTGAATCCTGGGTGGGACCCTCCCGGTGGGACCCTCCCTTCTTCTTTTGGTCTGTGTTTAATCCTGGACACAGCTCTGCGGTCCACAGCTCCCTAGGTGCCGCCACTCCCTAACAAAGGCTGAGGGTGGGGAGATCGTAAGTCCTGGGCAGTGGACAACTGACTGCTTCTGCAAAGCCATCAAGTGAGAAACACTGGCGAGTCACAGAGGGGCTGGGCATCCAGCAAGAGCGGACACTTCCACCCCTGGCCTTAGAACTTGGCCAACAAGAAAACAAAGCTGGCTCTCCGTGGCCCAAGACTCTCCCCATCATCAGCCCTTTCCTTCCCTTTCTACACTACGAGATCAAGTCCCAGGGCCAACCCAGGCATCCTGCAGCTGCTGGCTGGAAGGGCTCTGCACTGCTCCTTCTCCCTCCAAGTCTTCAGGTGTAGTGGAAGAAGGAGCTGAGAGTCCGTCTAGCTGAGCTGCTACACACAGGGACCCTGCATCTGTGGCAGTGAAGAGCCTGTGGCAAAGTTAATGAGAACTAATTATGGCCTGGTCATAAATCTGGAAACAGGAAGAGATATGTGTGTCTTCCTACATCCACCACCTCGTATGAACGTCCCATCAGCACGTGCATCTTCTCTCTCTCTCTCTCTCTCTCTCTCTCTCTCTCTCTCTCTCTCTCATTTATTTATTTATTTATTCTAATTTGTTATACATGACAGCAGAATGCATTTCAATTCATAGTACACATATGGAGCACAATTTTTCATGTCTCAGGTTGCACACAAAGTAGATTCACACCATTCATGTCTTCCATACACGTACCTAGGATAATGATGTCCATCTCATTCCACCATCTTTCCTACCCCCTGCCTCCTCCCTTCCCCTCCCTCTTCTTTGCCCTATCCAAAGTTTCTCCATTCCTCCCACGCTCCCATTGCCATACCCATTGTGGATCAGCATCCACCCATCAGAGAAAATGTTTGGCCTTTGGTTTTTGGAGATTGGCTTACTTCACTTAGTATGATATTCTCCAACTCCATCCACTTACCTGCAAATGCTATGATTTTGTTCTCTTTTAATGCTGAGTAATGTTCCATTGTGTATGTATGCACCACAGTTTCTTTATCCATTCATTTATTGAAGGGGATCTAGGTTGGTTCCACAGTTTAGCTATTGTGAATTGTGCTGCTATAAACATTGATGTGGCTGTGTCACTGCAGTATGCTGTTTTTAGTCTTTTGGGTATAAACCTAGGAAGGAGGGGGATAGCTGGGTCAAATGGTAGTTCCATTCCAAGTTTTCTAAGGAATCTCCATACTGCTTTCCAGATTGGCTGCACCAATTTGCAGTCCCCCCAGCAATGTATGAGTGTGCCTTTCTCCCCACATCCTTGCCAACACTTATTGTTGCTTGTATTCTTAATAGCTGCCATTCTGACTGGAGTGAGATGATATCTTAGAGTAGTTTTGATTTGCATTTCTCTAATTACTAGAAATGTTGAACATTTTTTTCACAGTAGGTGTATCTTATAAGCATTGTGCCACAGAACTCTTCTCTCTTCTCTTGCCCCAGTGATATGGACTGTGATCACAGAGAATGAGTGTGGGTTTAAAGAACTTTAAGGAAAATAATCACTTGTCTACAAAATATCCCTTTCTAAACTAGGAATGGAACCACCATTTGACCCAGTTATCCCACTCCTTGGCATATACCCAAAGGACTTAAAATCAGCGTATTACAGTGACACAACCACATCAATATTTATAGCAGCACAATTCATAATAGTGAATTTATGGAACCAGCCTAGATGCCCTTCAACAGATAAATGGATAAAGAAAATGTGATTTTATATATATATATATATATATATATATATATATATATATATATATATATATATATATATATATATATATACACACACACACACACACACACACAATGGAATATTATTCAGTTATAAAGAAGAATGAAACTATGGCATTTGCTGGTAAATGGATGGAGCTGGAGACTACCATGCTAAGTGAAATAAACCAATCCCAAAAAAACCAAAGGCCAAATGTTTTCTCTGATATGCAGATGCTAATGCACAATAAGGGATAAGGGAGGGAAGGATAGAAATTCATTGGATTAGATAAAGGGGAATGAAGGGAAGGGAGGGGAGATAGAAAAAGAAAGGCAGTAGAATAAATCAGACGTAACATTTCTTTTTCTTTTTCTTTTCTTTTTTTTTTTTGTACTGTAGCACTTTATTTTTCCTTACTCAATGAAGTGTTGCTGGGGCTGAATGTTCTCACAACAGTAGAAAACCAAAAATTTATCATCTCTTAAAGAATTGAGTACTAAAACAACCTTACATAAATTAAAATTAATAAATTTACAGTGTAAATGCAAACAATTTCCAACTCAAGGCACCTATGGTGGTCAGGCAGGAAAACATCATTAACAACGGAAACTGGATCCTAAGACTCAACCAGAGATAACATTTCCACGTTAATATATGAATGCATGACCAGTGAAACTCCACATCATGTACAGCTGCAAGAATGGAATCCTAATTAAAACAAGTTATACTCCATGTACGTATGTCAAAATACACTCCACTATCATGTGTACCTAAAAAGAACAAATGAAAAGAAAAATAATCTGGGCATGGTGGTGCACGCCTCTAATCCCAGCAGCATGGGAGGCTGAGACAGGAGGATCGTGAGTTCAAAGCCAGCCTCAGCAACTTAGTGAGGCACTAAGAAACTCAGTGCAAAACAACTATCTCAAAGGGGCTGGGGATGTGGCTCAGCGGTTGAGTGCCCCTGGGTTTGATCCCTGGTAACAAAACAAACATAACAAACAAAAACCAACAACAAATAAACAGAAAAAATCCTCCTTTCTAGCTGCAGTTTCATGGGCAAGACTAGCCCCTGTCACTGTGCAAAGGTATGAGCCATGTGATGCTGACATGACTGAGAACACTGTAATAATACCATTTCTACTTACTGAGTGGTGCTTTGCATAATGTTCACAGCTGTCCTATGAAACAGATGTGACTATTCTCATTTTTCAACTGAGAAGAAACTAAGGCCCGAGAAAGTAAACTAATGTGCCCACGTTCATATAATTAGGGATTGGCAGAGCCAGGGTTCCTTTTGATTCCAAAGATTTTCGAGTTTCTCTGTTCACAATTAAAAGTTATGGCGACCTGTTGAAGAATGAGTTTGTAATTCCCAATAGAATGGATGGATGCAGTTATTTTTAACATTCTGAATTAGAAGTGAGTGTTTAAGTTTCAGGTCTCATTTGCTCAAGTGTTTTAGTGGGTCTACCGGATGTTCACTTCTTAAACAAATATTAACGGAGGAGATACTAAGCAGCAAATACTATTGTGGGGGTGTGGGACGGTGATAAACAATGAACTGAGGACTACAACAATCCTCTCTGGGAAAGCTCATTTCTACTGGGCAGAGATGAGAAGAAACAAATAAGGAAAACTGGATTCAGTGTATTTGAGAGTTTTCTGTTTCTGTAACACAGACCCAAATCCTGGGTAAGTTATAATGAAAAGAGGTTTGTTTCAGCTCACAGTTCTGGTCCAAAGTCAAGGGGCTGCACCTGGTGATGACCTTGCTGGAAGAGTCCCAAGGTGATGCAGGGCATCACATGGCAAGACATGGAGAGGTCATATATGTGTGCAAGTCTCCTTTCTCTTCTTATTCATTCATTCAACCGGGGGCAGGGGGGCGGGGTTCCACCCTGATGTCCTGATCTGACCCTAATCACCTCCCAAATGCCTACCTCTAAATACCAAAATCAGAATAAGCTTCTATCTTTTCTTTATCTTCCAATACTGAGATTAAACCCAGGGACACTCTACCACTGAGCTACATCTCCAGCCCTTTTCAGTTTTTATTTTGATACATGGTATCACTAAGTTGCTGAGGCTGGCCTCCATCTCAGCCTCCTGAGTAGCTGGGATTACAGGAGTAGGCCACTGCATCTGGATCATTTCTATCCTCTGGTGATTAAACTCCAACATGAGCTTCAGAGGAGGCAAACCACACCCACAGCATCAGATAGTGGGAAATGCTGAGAAGTAAGCGTGGACCACCAGGGCTGGGATTGCAACTTTGAATGGTCTGTTCAAGCCAGACCTGGTTGAAAAGAAGGAATTCAAACAAAACTTGACGGAGGTGGATAAGGCACATGGCTACCTGGCGAAAGTTCATTCCAGATGTGGGAATAATCTGAGGTAGAGGGTGCTGTGTTGCTCAGTTTATTACAAAGATAAGTGAGTCTTATGAAAAAAACATCATTTGTTGAGTTGTTTGATATTTTAAATGACGAGAGAGAGAGAGAAAGAGAGAGAGGAAAAAAAAATCTTGAAATTAGCCTCTGAGCTAGAATCTTGATCAGCAGTTACCCTGAAAGAGGTTGGGCTGGAAATGGGACCTTTATGAACTTACACCTTGTTATGAGGTGTCCCCCCAAATCTCATGTGTGAGACACCGCAAGAAGGTTCAGAGGAGAAATAATTGGCTCTCAAGAGCCTTAACCCAATCAGTGAATTAATCTCCTGATGGGATTGATTATGTGGTAACTGAAGGCAGACGGGGTGTGGCTGGAGGAGGTGAGAATTGGGGGCGTGGCTTTGGGGTCTATATTTGCATCGCAAGTGGACACCTCTCTTTCTCTGCTTCTATGTGTGAGCTGGTCTCTGCCATGATGTCCTGCCTCACCTCAAGCCCCAAGGAATGGAGACTGCTGTCTATGGACTGAGACCTCTGAAATCATGAGACCCTATATAAACTTTTGCACCATTACAATTGTTCTGGTCAGGTCTTTTAGTCACAGCAGAAAAAAAAAAAAAAGCTGATGAAAACGCACCTCAATTTTTAAAAATGAAAAAAAAAAAAAGAGTCCTTAGCTTTTCACTTGTGGCATCTGAGATTGCATATTCGCAAGCGGCGTAAGAGCCACATTTCTAGCAGGTGTTTCATGGTGTCCTCTGCACAAGCCTGCTCCAGACTCAAGATTCGCTCAGAGAATCACAAGCTTCAACACCATGGGGGTTCCATGGTCTTGGGGGAGCTCAGCAACCTCTCTGGATCTCAGTTTCTAAACTATGAACTGAGATTGGTAACAATGGCATCTACCTGGCAAAACGACCACGAGATGGAAAAGAGATAAAGTCATTGAAAGTTCTTATACCTGGAGACCTCAGAAATCTTCATTTTATACATACGGATGTATCTGGTGTTTCAACTGAGAGCACCCACTGGGTTGCTTCTGTGGTCAGTTCCTTCTTGGGCTCTGCCACTGTCTCCTCTTGTTTGTGCTCATCACCCTCTTCTGGGCACTGGCTCCTGCTCTGGGACTTCAGGTCCCCCCGAGGTATTCTACAGTGAGGGGACAAAACACCTTCTGCTCCTTTTGGGAAATGGTGTGTTTTCGAGGACCCCAAAACCGAATTAGTTATACCCTAAAGTCTCAGGAGATTAATCAACAGCCCTTTCCATTACCATTACCTCAACCCAACAGGTCTCAGATCTTAGACCAGAGAGTGACCCGTAGAATCAATGTGAGAGGCCAAGGTCACGCTGTGTTGAGTGCATGGTTACTTCAAATGGGTTTTCCAAGGGATCAATTGCTGGCAGAGAGATGCTCAAGGGCCCAGGGTGGTGGGCATTGTCTGCAGAGAATTTTAAACATTAGCGGAACCAAAGTCCAGCTGCCTTTTATAACTTCCATGCACCGGCAGTTCTAAACAAAGTCAGTGACAAAACACCACTCCCACCCCCGAGACCAAACCTTATATTGGTCTAAGTCTAAGAGAGTTGCTCTGATTACTATTTATTGACTTTAATTATATTTCTATATATAAATTATAATTACATCTATAATCACCTTTTCATTACTTATTTTTAAAAAACATTTTATTCTACCTAGGAGTTAATTGGGTAGTACTGTTCCCTATCCCCTTCCCCAAAGACTTAGTTAGCTAAATACCTGTGTTCCCACAGTCCATTCCTAATGGCATAACAGTTTAGAATAGCTAGAGTGTTATTCTAGACACAGTCATATTTGCAGCCCCGGGGCTGTCGTGTATTCTTGAATTTAAAGGGTTGAGTTGAGATAAACATTAATAGCAGAGTGAATATAAAGGCAAAGACATAATTTGACTGACTTCCATTCTATCATCTTTTGAGAAGACATAAAGTTTTCATCTGTGTTAAAAATCTAAGACCATGGAATAGTATGAACTTCAAGGTACGATATGTTGCTTAGTAATCATTTATTTGGGTTTCAGCATGAAACACATCACTAAATTTGGATAATATCTTTAATATGATTATTTATCCATTATTTTTAAATTATTATTTTAAAACCAAAGAATGAATCAAGAAAATGACTATTTCATAATTGTTAAGAAAAATAATGTTGACATGTAAAGGGAGTTGTAAAGAAATTAATGATTATAAATGTATCAAATGCATCCCAAAAGACTGTGATTACTACTTAATCACACATACTGTGGGCTGGGAATGTCGCTCAGTGGTGCACGCCTGAGCTCCTGAGTTCAATCCCCAATACCACCCCCTTCCATATATAGAAACTGAGATCAAATGATGGATTTTTTTTTTTTTTTGGCAGGGGCATCAAATCCAGGGTCTGTGCCATGCTAGGTAAGCACTCTGCCGCAGAGCTAAAGCCCAAGCCCACTAAAATGGTGGACATATTTTACTCTTCAGCTGATGTCCTGCTACATTACTATTGCTACTTTTGGTTGTTGTTGTTGTTGATGTTGTTGTTTTGCCATGTGGGTAATTGAACCCAGGCCTCATGCATG